TATTGCAGATTTTCTTGGAAACTAGCGGGGCGGCACTCTTGCGAGGCGCTTGGGCTTGAAAGGAATTGGAGATTTCATGCTTGATGGCTATGAAGGTGATTCATGGGGTGGACTTGTCAATTGCTTGAAGGCTTGGAAGAATTGAGCTTTAAATTTGAAAGATGCGGGGGAACATTCAAGCGTATCACGAGCTTTGGAGGATTTAGAGAGGTCAAATTGGGCTTTAAATGAAGAAAAACTTGAAGAAAGTGGGCTAGGAGGTGATTGGATTCGATCTGGGCTAGTGGGATATGCTTTAGAGGCCCAAAATCTCAAAGGAGCCCATGTCAGGTACCACCCGCGCAACCCACCCGCGCAGCAGCACGCGGGTCGCGCAAGGCCCTGCAGGGGCAATTTCGGAAATCCTTCTTTTGAGCTATTTGAGGAAGGTTGGTGCCCATCTTTTGCATACACTTGCACATCCGATTTTTGGAGATTCTCTCTGGAGTTTTGGAGACTTTTGAAGGCCAAGAACCCTTGAAGAACATCATATTTTTACCTCTTGATTCTTGCTTAATGTTTGGTACAATTTTCTCTAACTTTGTTTCTTTGTGTTTAGCCATGCTTGGCTAAACTAATCTTGGTTGACTTTTGGTTAATCCTTTGAACTTTTGTTGAATGTTGAAGAATCCATGAACATGTTCTTGAATCTTTATGGGAATGTTTTGTGTTTTAACATCTTATCATTACTTGTATGTTTTAGTTCATGAGTTTAAATGTGTTTGTGGTGATTAGTTGGCTAATTTCTTGATTAAGTAAAGGATCCTCAAATTAGCAAGCAACAAATGATTTTTGTGTTGTTTTTGCTTCACACAATCATAAAAACATTTCCTCCAACATGGTGGTGAAAGCATTTGACCCCTCTTGGATTTGGTGACTTTTTGGTTCTTAATGCTAGTTGACTTTCACTAATTACATGCTATTTGGAATTAGTGACTTTGACTAAGGAAATTGTTATGAGCTTCTCTAGCCATTTCAACAATTAAGAAAAGTCTAGGTAATCTCAAGCTCCTTGGATTACTATAGCCAAATTGAGGATTTAAAACAAGTATTGCACCATTGAATTCTAATGATATGTTCATCAAAAGTCAAAGTGAGAAAACTTTAAGTCAACCATCTTTCCCTTATTGATTTTACACCAAATTCTTATTTTTGTTGCAATTGTCTATTTAAATCATAGTTAATTCTAGTTTGTTTCAAGTATTCAAAACACCAAAACCCCCCATTTTATTTTTATTGTTATTTTACAAGTATTTTTACAAAGAGATTTTTCATAGAGTTAGAAATTGAACCAATCTCCGTGGATTCAATCCCTTTACCACTATACACTATTTTAGTGTGTAACATTTAGGATTATTATTTGTGTTGGCCTCGACAACCACCATAGTACCACCGGAAATCGAGATTTGGGTGTAGTACCATCGACGATTTGGGTATGTTCCCTACTGGAAATCGGAGAAGATGAGCAGGGAGCGAAGAAGGGGAGATGAGTGGTGGTGATGAAGGTTTCTTTGGACATTGGTATGAGGAAGAATATGATTTTGAAGATGCAAAAATAAATGGTCTGTTCTTGATTTTAAGAGAGAGAGAGAGAGAGAGAGAGAGAGAAGTGGGCCCAGATTAATTATTTATTTTCTTTTTTATTTAAATTAAATAGAAAACACATAAAAAATATATCAGAAGGGCATTATAGTCATTTCAATTTTGCGAGGGATCAAATTTACATACAAACATGGCCAAAAGGACCACGAATCCAAAAAAGTCGGGGTTTGGACTAAAACCCCAAAAAAAAATCCATACCACAGGGACCATTGTTGCAATTTTGTCATTATATGTCAAACGAGTCTTAAACTCGAAACTAATGAATTATATCTTCTTATCTTAAACATACGTAAATTGAAAATGAACAAAGGATGTACATATAAACGAGTGAATTGTTTTGTATAAGAATTTACATATCATTATAGTGGATTATATTCAAAAAAGAGTCATAATATTTTGACCAAATTAACGGAAAATTTTCTTAAATTTTTTTAACGAAAAAGCCTCGATTACTGAGTAAAAAAATAAGAAATCGGAAAAAATGGCTTATTTGAAATTTTACCCAATAACTTGGATTTTTCTATTCAAAAAATAAATTATGAAATTTATAATAAACTATACCAAAATGTCGAGATTTTTCTAACAATAACCTTTGTTATATTAACAATATCATATGTTTGGTTTATAAATTTGAAGTGATATGTTTAAGAGAGAAGAATAAAGATAGAAAGTAATTATGGTGTATTATTTTGTGTAAAGTTTATACAAAAACATAACACATATAATAGAGATTGGACCAATAGAAGTAACGCACACAGATTGTTGAGATGTCAATAGTAAAGAACAGGTGGAGGAGGAGGAGGGGAGAAACACTCAATTTAGAACTTAAGTAAAGAAAATGTAGAGATGGAAGTCCTTTTGTTAGCACATTGGCAAGATGCAAAGAAATAGATATGTAACAAATATCCAACTTTTGAGATAACACCATGTCACAAATGAAATAAAGGTCAATCTTTATATTTTTGGTCCTTTTATGAAAATCATGATTAGCAACAAGATATGTAGTACCAATGTTGTCACACCACAATGTAGGAGACGAATATATATCTATATATAGCTTACATAAGAGGGATGTCAATCAACATAACTCGGTTGCAGTATGAGAAAGAGCTCGCACTACTAGAAAAACAGCCTTTTACGACGCTCATTGCGCGTCGTAAACGGCTCAGACGACGCGCAAATGCGCGTCAAGGAAGGCCCTGTCATAAAGAGAGACGACGCGCGTTTACGACACGCAATGCGTATCAAGGAAGGTCCTGTCATAAATGAAGATGACACGCATTCGCGTATCGTAACCTTACGACGCGCGTGTTAATGACACGTAATGCGTATCAAGAAAACCCCTGTCAAGAAAGGCCATGTCATAAATGAAGATGACACACATTTTTGCGTATCATAATTTTAAATGTTTAAAAAAATATTCTTTATAGATTTACTTATTTTCAAATTAAATTTGTATTTAATGTTTCATAATAGAAAATAAAATATCATATACAAAAAATAGAATCCATTGCATAAATTTAATGTCATACAAATAATCGTTCCATGGAAAGATAAAACAAATCAATAGAAGTTGTAACAAAAATTTACAAATGAATTAGATACAAAAAATACAATCCATTGCCCCTTTGCTAACTAATCTGTACAAATTTACCCTTGTTTCTAATCATTTTCTTAAATACTTTACAAACATAATTCATCCATAGTACCTGAACTATAGTTGTAGCCTTGTTTCTTCTTCTTTTGAACTCATCTCTTGCAACCATTGCTCTAAGCTTAGTCTGAATAGATACAACAACTCCTTGTCCATTATGTGAAAAATACAACCGGAGAGTGGCCTACCTTCATAATAGCAATAACTAACGAAGCAGGAATGAAAGAGAAGGCAATACTCACAACAATAGCTGCAGTGAATGCATCTAGGTCCTACAAGATCATTAAAATCACTATTTAAATACACACTACATATAAAGGTGTCGATATTCTGATTGCATGTACTTAATATATAAAGACTCCAACAATAAATAGATATGTTATGTTACCTTGAGACACCTTTGAAGGGGATCCAAAATGCCATACCAATTTGGGATCTAAAATGCAATACAATAAAGAAATCCAACATTATTAATTTTGCAAAAGAGTACCTATAACACCAATGTTTATAAAGGTCCCCATGGCTCCATCATTACCCTAGTCCATGTACTCCAAAATCTTTCTTGTTCCTGCAAGCTAGCTGTAATGGCATTCCTGCAAGTGCTCCTTCTCCCCTGGATCCTTGAACAAAAACCTAAATAAATTTTAAACTTTTATTTATATTCGAATATTTTTTTTTGTTGTATATACAATAACTGAATTTGACATTTATAGTTTAGTAGTTGGAATTGGAAGAATCATAATTTGTCATGCCTTTAATTGGCAGGAAATGGAATGGAATTTAACAAAAAAGGAAGAATAGAATTGAATGGTGAATCCCATCAAACATGGAATTTGAAGGAATCTGATATAATTTAATTCCATCCATTTGCCAATCAAACATGCCATGGAATGGAATCTCCAATTTCAATTCCATCAGAACCATGATAAGCATACCTTAACACATTTTCCATCATTTGAAAATGATAGAGCAAGAACACGAACAACTTCCATCAAAGTACCTATTCGATATACATCCTGTACATAAATATAATTTATATTTATATTTTATAACAATTCAATTATTGAAAAAGGAAGTGTTCCTCACTGTGTTGGGGTTCAGCTTTGGCTATCATCAACATTACAAGTTGTCTCAGTATTGTCCACCGCCACATGGAATAAGCTGCAGAAGAAAGTTCAAAGGAAGGAAACAAATTCAAAATTCTTAAAAAAATTAAAAATCTTAAAAAAAAGCATCCAAGGACTTTGATACCTGTAAACTTTAGTTCCTTATCCAACTTATCCTACAATACATCTGTCACACCCTTCTCATCCGTCACGAAAACCCCCATGACCTATATAAATCAAACATCAAAGCTTCAATAACAAAACCAAAGGGCAAATCTGTCATTTTTTTGGAAAAATCAAACCCAGCCAAACGAACCTGAGGGTGGAGGAGGTGCACCTCGCCCTATTGCCGCTAAATCAGGGTTGACTTTCTGACCGGCCTCCTGAAGTATGGCAATAAGTTCCTTAGCAAACCGAGCATTTGTTGCTGTAAAGAAAGTGTATGCTGTCCCTTTAGCCCCGACTCTTCCTGTTCTCCCAATCCTATGAACATAATCTTCCAAGGAACCCGGGAAATCATAATTTATCACATATTTCACGTCCTTCACATCTGTAGCTGTCATTATTGGACTTTTACTAGCTTTGAATTCGGATAAATCCTAATCTCTTTCTGCTTGACTTTTATCTCCATGGATTGATAATGCGGGCCACCCGTCCATTCTGAGCTGGCGGGTGATTTGGTCACACCCTTTCTTCGTGTCCATAAAAATTAGAATTCTACTCCCATCCATGATGTCATCCAACAGTTTCACCAATCTGAAAAAAAAAATTATCAAATTTTATTATTTTAAAGCTTCTAAAAAGTTGAAAATAAAAAATCATCTATAAAAATGGCCTGCTTACTTGTTGTACTTTTGATTCTGAGTAACAATATCAACATGTTGCTGAATCGAATGGTTAGCTTTTAAGTCTTGTGAACTAATAACCACCTGTCCAAATTTCAAATGTCCAAAAAAAGGATTAAATATGAACACATGGTGAAAATAGAAAAAAAGTAGTCACTTTGTATGGGTTGTAAAGAAACTGTCTTGCAAGTTGTTCGACTTCCTTTGGCCATGTAGCACTCCAATAAAAGGTTTGAAAATCTGGTCGCATCTGTGTATATACAAAAACCCATGAGATAAGAAAAATTGAAATATTTTAGTTTTCTCTTATTATAAAAGGCAGGTTAAAAACTACTAATCACAATTCACAAACCTGTGAAACAATTTTTTTCATTTGAGGTTCAAAACCCATGTCAAGCATCCTATATGCCTCATCCAACACAAGGTAAGTCACCCTCCTCAGGTTTGTATGATGAGACTCCAACATATCAATCAATCTTCCAGGTGTAGCAATGATAATATGAACACCTGAAAGAAAAGATTTAAAAAAAATGATGATGAAACATGTGCTTTAGGCACAACAAAGATAGATAGATAGATATAATGCTGGAAAATGTTGAATACGCTGAAGAAGCATAAGGATATACCCGATCCATAGTAGTAAATTCATCTTTGAGCTTATCACCACCTACCTTTCTGTAAATCACGAACTTGAGGAACCTTTGGAACCCCACCATAAATGCAAGTATTCTTAATCTTTGAAGTTGTGCCAAATTTAGTTGCTTCTTGTTGTATTTGAACAGCAAGTTCACAAGTTGGAGCTAAAACTAACACAATCGGTCCATCTCCTTTTACTGTGATACCTGTAAACTCGCCGGAAATGGGTTATCCTATTCATTTTCTGATTGTGAATTTGACCTTCACGTCCTTTGTGCTCATTCTATTACCGGTACTTCCCGTACTTATCAACCCTCAATGGTTCACCCCAATCAAACTCATGGTCAAGAAATGGATCCATAAAGTGGACAGAACTCTTACCAAGCACAAAATGCCTGCCCTCCTACTAGTGTTCATAACCCTATTACTAATTTCCAATATTCTTTCGTGGCTCCTGTTATTGTTGGGGTTCAGCTTCGCGATTGCAGCTCTACATTTCTCTTCATCCTGCAATAAATGCTCTAGTTCTTCTATTTCTTTCTTAAGTTCACTAACTTCCTCATTCATATACAT